CTGATTAAGTTCTGATAAATAAAAAGTAAGTGTGCTGAGGAGAACTCAATCGCTGCTGTCTTGTTTTTTACACAGGTAGAGTTTTTTGTTCTGGTATATTAAATCCACAATAACATGAAGCACGTGTGCATAGACACATCCACATGTCATGACCTGTAGCTGTTTCTACTGTCTGCTGCAGACCTACCTGAAAGAAATAATGCGAGAAATCGGGACGTACAACAGCAAAGGAGCTCACAAAAGCACCTGGGAGCTGAAGCCGGAGTACCGACACTACCACTCAGCCGAGGAGGAGGAGGAGACGCAGACCTCGTGAAGCAAACCTTCGACGTAAAGGAATAAAGATGGCGAAGAATTCTGGGTTTTCAGTTTGTAATCTTTAAGTTGACGTTAAAACTAAAAAGTCTGCTGTGCACGGGCCAAACGTTCACATAAATAAACGTGTATTGATGGATTTCCGGCTGTTTGATTTCATTGAGTATCTAAAAACAAAACATAGTGACAAGCAAACATCATTATCACGTTGAGGAGGAACCTGTATAAGAATCTGCAGCCACAAATGTGTTGTCAATCAAGTGTGGCACATTGCAGTCTACGCACATACACAACAGGGTGTGTGTGATTGTATAATTGGTCTTTACTTGGCAGCTTCTGTGCCTTTAGCACACAGAACAGTTGTGTTGGTCTTTTTCAAACACTGTTGGATTCATTGCTTCATCGTGGCCCAGTTCGAGAAGTTATTAGTTCCTCCTGTGAAAAAGCTGTTTCACCGCAGACTTCATGCACATCAGGTATAAGTCTGTGATGGCATTTTTATTTTTATGTGTTTTCAGCAGACTCAGCAAGTCAAAAATTAAAGAGCAAAATGGTGCATTTCTCGTTAGGTGTTACTATGGCAACTGTGATTCACGGGGCAGAAATCTGCTGCCTCCGACCGCACCCCAACTACAGGTGAACGTGTCGACAGGTGTTCATCCGTTGTCTAAAGCACACGTCTGTGACAGCAGCAGTTCCTGATTTTCCTTTTTAAATGAAGATGTATGAAGGACAGCAGCCACCAGGTCATAAAGTGTGAACCAATCATCACCTCAGTCTTCACATAACTACGTATGTCACTGCTGCTGTCGTGAACTTGACGTTCCTTCTCTGAACACCTTTCAGTCTTAGTGGATTATTCAGCCGTCACTGTCGAAGCCGTCACCAGGTGTCAGGAGTTATTTTAGTTGCCGGCACACATTTCTCTGCCCTGAGGTTCTTCTAAGCGCCTCATGTGGCCTTAACTGAACTCATCATACTATCGTAACCTTTGAAACAACTAAGTCAGAACATCTGTCAACTAGCCTGCTGTTATGTACAGAAATAAGATTAACAGCCTAATGGGCCACAGCCTGGTGCACGTAAAGGTCCAGAGTTGGTTTAACGTGTTACAGGTGTGATTAATCAGCTTTTAAAGAAACAGAATTAAAGACAAACTATTCCAGAATCCTCAAAAATAAAGAAACTGAAGGTAGTGGTAGTTCATTTTATTGTCAAATTAAAACAGACGTCATTGACCTGTAGATGGAATCTCATTTAATGGAACCCAAACACAAAGAGGAGGTCTGGAGATGTTAACCGGCGTGGAGCGTTGCTATAAGAGTACACCGACAGACGGGGAGAAAAATGACTTTTTTTTCTGTCAAAGTCAGAGCTTCACTCACTGTCCTGTCTGGTAGCTTCAATCGCAAAAACTAGGCCAATCCTGGGACACAAAAAAAAATAAATCAAACACTGCAAAGGCTGAAAAGAAAAGTTTAAAACTATTCAGTGATCGATCACGTTTGATTTCTCCGGCTTTGGGAGTAGTACTGTGGGCCGTAATGTGAATACTTTTAAGAAATTGAACAAGGGCGTATCCGTTCAGGTATGATGCAAAGTCGTGCTCCTTCAGTCTGCTTGTGGGCCGTTTGGAAAGTAGCAGATGTAGTTCCTGGTAGTTACTGTGAGAAAGAGGAAGACGTGTCACACTTTGTCCACCAACCTTGAACAGCTGAACAATATACATGCTTCTATACAAAACATGGAAGATTCATATTTATTAGAACAACTGGACAAGCTCACATCTTGTGACTACAGCTACATCACTGATCTAGTCTCATGTTATCAAACCAGTAATGTAAAAATAATGAGTCTCTCTGCTGCCAAATCACAGAAACATGAGCCCATCTCGCTCAGCAGACGGGCTAATGTAAGTTTCTACACACAGTACTTACACATTTCTCGATTTCCAGACCGTCTTTGATGAAAAGCATGTATGGGGTGATGCCGTCCTCGCGGAAATCCAGCAGGCCCACAGCGCCGTCTGGGTTCATACTCGATCCTGTGAAGAACTGCAGGGAAACAGACTATTAGCTCAGCGTGCAGGGCTCCAGGCCAGCTTTCTAAGTTGGTCATCGGCAGGAAACCTATCAATACACAATAACTTCACCAATGTGCCCGTAACACGTCCCAATACAGGCTGCTGATGAAAACAAATCACTTTATCATCATGCGCCGTTATCTACGAGCAAAGTTTACGAGCGGAACGCATATTTAAATGCAAACACCACAGCTGATCGTGCTCATATAACGGTGGAAAGCCAAAATCATGTCATCATCATTTAATTTTGCAGCCCAGTTATTGTCATTGTAATTAAAAGCACCATTTTTTCCCCTTTCGGTCTACATCTCCCTGCACCCCGATCAGCAGGTCTGTCTCAGTCTCCCTCTTCAGGCTCCCCTTTCTTCATTTTGTTTTTTAAATAAATCAGCCACAGATTACTAGATCTTTGGAACGTGCTGGACAGACTGAAAGAGCCAAGGAAGAAATACCAGTACCACCTTCCACCACTGTGGCTTCCCACGCTGATCATCACTCACTCACATGAATGAATTTTAACTTGCATCCTCTGAATAAAAGGCAGCATATTGGTACAGATCTTGGTGTGTTTTAAAGTGATGTTTAAGATAATCAGCTATAATCACCATGGTGCTGTCAGCCAGGTTTACAAAATGGGTTTGTAAACCAGCACACTCCATTGTTTGTCACTGGTTTGACCCCTGTTGTCCATTGTAAATTACTTTTGACTCAACATGTGTACAGTTACCTGGTAGTTCTTGAAGTTTGCCAGAATGGTCTTGGCTCCTAGTTGGGCTTCTGTCATGAAGGACTCCACTCGGTCTGGTTCGGATTCTTGTAGGCTGGTCTTAATACTGGACACAAGAGTGAAATGTTTTTAATGGTTCGTCTGCTAATACCTACACTCAAGGTACCAGTTGGCAAACTACAGAGCCAACACCTGCAATTACTTCAAATCTGAACATCTCTTCTCTTCTCATTGAGCCTTTAGCAGTAATACTCACGCCTTCATATAGCCTTTCAAGTAACCCTGGAATCCCTTCTTGTCAAAGCAGGTCTCTTGCAGATTGTGGTTGAGGACGATGTCCACACCAGAGACAGAGTTTGTGTCGTTGCACTCCTGAGCTTCTTCAGCAGAAGCATTGCCTCCAATTAGAGAATCATCAATCTCTCCTTCGGTCCGAGTGACGCTCTGGACACGTCAAGCAGAGGAGCAAAAACGACAGACACAAGAGAGGAAACATCAATTTATGGTGCACCGCTGTGAAAATACGATACATGGTGAAGCATCTGATGGGCAGGAGAGAGTAGCTGTAGGGTCAGTGTCATGTGACCACGTTGCTATACAGCTGGCTCAACGGTGAGGGAATCAGCTTCACGTTTCTATTAAGATGAGGACAAACTTGCTGAAAATAAACCCTGGCGTTTGAATCTGTAATGCCTACTACCGGTGTCTGGACATTATTGTTGCTTACAGGAGGGAAAGAAAAGAAAAGGTTCAACAAGAACTCTGTAGGCACCAGAATTTTTTTTTTTTTTTTAAGAAAAGCACATGTCTGTGAACAAAACCTCAGTTTCAAACGGCAATATTCAGCAAATCACAGCACAGGTCTGGCTGAACTCTGCCGAGTGCTTCAAGCAGTCGAGTTAGTTCCTCTCCTGTGATTCATCCTACCAGCAGTGATGTCATCTATAGAAAATGCCATTTATTTTTTTCCCACACAACTTAATGAAAATGAATCAGTGAACTTCCCCCCCCAACATACAGCACTGTAACTGTAATACACTACACGTCATTTTTGAGTCCTGCCTATTCCACGTCATAGTTGTGCTGTTTTCATAGAGATGCAGGACTTTACAAAAGAAAGTGCCAGAAACTGGAGTTCAGATGGTTGAGCTGTTTAGTCATCAGGGTGTTTTATGTGTTGGATGTGATCCAATGACACCGGATCACAAGCGCCATAGTAGGAAACTTAATGGAGACGGTGCCAGGAGCAGAACCAGGTTCATCAGAATACACAGGAGCCCAGCTTTAGGCCGAACCTCCCGGCTCCAACCATACCGCTGTGTGCTGATAACTCACCTTTCCTTCGACTTCGATGAAGAATCCGTTCGCAGACTCCGTGATTTTGTAAATATCAGAGAACATCTCATCATCTGTAGAAGAAAGTACCGATTAAAGCATTTACTTAACAAAAAAACTCTTCATCCAGGCTAACATCTGGTTGTGCTAAACTAAACTGGAAGTCGCGATGTGTAGCACTTTGCCGACCAAGCACTGCTAATGCTAACTCTAGAAAATTCGGCCAAACAAAAATAACACGGTAGCTAATCGCTACACGACGCTGGAAGTCCACATTCAGGGCGCTGCTTCAGCATGACGAACCCTCACATGAATATCCCGAACCATCGGCCCGTATCGTATCACCCCATCGAGCGGTGGTCGCTATGACTCGGTGTACTTTTCACATTTACACACTTTTCGCCCCCGGCTAGAAGCTAACGGAGCGCAGAATCACCGGCTAGCCGACAGGGTGGCTAACACTCGCTAAACTCTGTCTGAATAGAGTTTTTGACTAGCATCTGGCTAACGCTAACTTGCCAACGACGTTAACACGAGTTTGCTAGGTAGCCTAGCTAACGGTCTTCTATAAAATCATAACACAGGCAAAATAACTAAAGCGACGGTGCCGCCCCTCAGTAAACATGAAACACAACACGAATGGTGACTACTTACTTGTGATCTTGCACTTGTAGATGATCATTTTTGCTGCTTCGATGTTAAATCTTCCGGAGAAAGAGCGCAGGCCAGCCGCCCCAACAGCACAGGAGAGGGAAAAGAACGATGAGGCCGCGAGGCGCCGGATTTACATCCTCCTGACGTCAGCATGACTCGACCCCGGCAGGAGCTCTGCTGCCCCCTCATCCGGTGGCCCGAAGTGGTACTGCACCACCCACGAGCATACTTCTTTGTTTGAACTTTTCATTAGGAAATGGTGCGTGTTAGTTCCTACTTGGCTCCAAGTTTATTTACTTCGTGGTCTGAATATGAAATGTTCTTAACATCAACAAAAATACTTTTATCAGAGAATACATGCACCTAATAAGAGTTTAAATAGTTTGAATAATAATGGTAAAACCCTTCTGAATACTGATTTCTATAAATTAAATGATTAATTCAAATATTACAGTAAAGACTTTACAATGTTTTTTTAATTTTATTTTACACAAATTTACCAGGCTTGCTGAATATAGGGCTGAGACCCTACAAACTTATTATATCATACCAATATCCATCCATCCATCCATCCATCCATCCATCCATTTCCTTCCACTTATCTGGGATTGGGTCACGGAGGCAACAGATGAAGCAGTTCATTACAGACATCCCTCTCCCCAGCAATGCTTTCCAGTTCTCCCTGGGGGATCTCAAGGCATTCCCAGGCCAGCTGAGAAATATAATCCCTCCAGCGGTTTCTGGGTCTTCCCCAGGGTCAACTCCAGGGTGGACGTGCTGGGAAAACCTCCAAAGGAAGCCTCCCTAGATTCATCTGAATCAGATGTCCAAACCACTTTAACTGGCTCCTTTCAACGCCAAGGAGCAGCGGCTCTACTCTGACCTCCCTCCAGATGTCAAAGTTTCTCACCCTATCTCTAAGGCTGAGCCCAGCCATCCTGCAGAGGAAACTCATTTCAGCCGCTTGTACCTGCAATCTGGTTCTTTTGATCACTACCCAGAGCTCATTACTATAGGGGAGGTTGGCACATCGATGGACTGGTAAATCGAGAGCTTTGCCTTGTGGTTTAGCTCCCTCTTTACTGCGACCGTCCAGTACAATGAATGTTGCCTGTCCATCTCACACTCCATTTTCCCATCACTCGTGAACAAGATCCTGAGATACTTAAACCCCTTTCGCCTAAGGAAGCAACTCCCCCCCCCACCAGCTCAAGTTCCTTGTCCGCCAGTGACTTGACGTTCCACGTCACCACAACTAGTCTATGCCACCAGGGGGCCCACTCCCGCCTGGTGAACATAGGATCCAACCCTGCTTTACAGCCCTGTGGGTGGTGGCCCTGTGTTACTTCTTTGGCCTGTGCCCGACTGAGCTCCACGGGGCCCAGACGCTCTGTGGCGAGCTATACAAATTATACAAATTACGCAAGCAATTAAAATATTAAGACCCTACAATATTTTACATAATGCAAATTAACGTATTTATCATTGTTAGGTATAAGTATTAAATGTACTGAGACTTAAAAGAAAAAAATCAAAATTGACCAAAGTAGGATGAAGTAGACACTGTCACCACATGTCTATGAGCACCTCTAAGTCTGATGAACTACACAAGGACAAACATTACTTGGAAAGCATCTTTATTTCTCATTAATCAGCGTATTATTTTGGTACCGTAAGCACCATTTCAACTCTTACTGTGAATCTTAAACTATACATGTATTGGATCTCCTTTGTAATATCCAAACCAAAAGCGATGTCATCATAAAGCCACCCGCTGGGCAACGCAGTAGAATGACATCGGTTTATGTGGGAAAATATGGAGTCCAATTATCTGCATTGTGAAGTCCATTTACCTAAGGAAAAATCACCAGGGGTGCCCTACAGTAAAAGTTACACAGAGGCATTTGGACAGAAAGCAGGGGTGCGGTTATAAACCAGTAGGTGCATTGAAACAGCAACCTCACCTTTCAATTATAGTTAAGACTTCTTCAAAAAGGGAAAAATTAACCAGAGTGGAGCTTATGAGAAAGATCGGCACATTCAAACTGAACACATGCAAAACAAAGAACAAAAAACAAACATTAAAAAAGTAGTTCATGTACAATTATACACACATAATAAACATATTATGAGAATTTATTGACAGGTGATAAAGATGCAAGTGCAAAAGTATACATTTGCTCCAAAAGCCTCCTCCCATATTGAACTACACCACGTTTACCATTGGTGACAAAATTATAGGACCGCAAAATCGATTCTAATTCCAAGATACAGGGAACAAGTTTCTGTGATGAAGGGTCTTGACCAGCAGTCCTATGATCAGTAGCTAATGACTAAGTATTCAGTTGTAGCAGGAGGATATGCACTGCACAGGGAACACGCGGTTTTCAAAGTCTTTGTTACCTTAATAACCTAAACCTAGCTGTAAACCTTGATCTTGAAAAAGCTACAGCTGTCCACAGTCTGTGATGACGAGCTTTTGTGAGGGAACACCTCCCTTTGTGCCGAACTCTCCCATCTGCTGCACCACACTGATGCCATCACGAACCCAGCCGAAAGCCACGTGTTTGAAGTCCAGGTGTTCCGCTTTCTTCAGGGTTATGAAGAACTGCGAGTTGTTGGTATCGCGCCCGCGGTTAGCCATTGACAGAATGCCTGGGCCTGTGTGCCGAACATCAAAGTTCTCGTCCTCAAACTTGTTGCCGTAGATAGATTTGCCGCCTGTACCATCGCTGTTAGTGATGTCACCGCCCTGAAACACCAACGGGGAACTTATTAGTAATGTTACGTGAATATCTGACGTTTGCAAAGTGCATTCTTTTCCCCTGAGCTAGTGTTGATCTGATTGATTTATAAAAAGTGTATTTTATTAGTGAAATAATGACAATTTTACAATAGCATTAGCTTTACTAAGCTTTTCAAAATCCTGCAATAAAAGCAGTAATGCTGCTTGCTGACTATTGCTCAAATAAACCAATAGAGCAACCCTACGGTGTGGTTTTGGACATGATACACAGGTTTCTCTTTAAACTAACGTCAACAAAAACTTCATGCTTGCAGAGTTTGACAAACTGCTTCTAATCCATATTGCCACACTGTTTGACAGGCCATCCACACACTCTTTGATAATTGTTTTTTATATATATATTTTATATGTAGCTCTGAGAGTTCTAAAGTTGCTGTCAAAAACTGTTGAATCATTTTTTAAAAAAAGAAAACTAATGTAGTGAAGGCAATTATTTACAATGCTACGTGTGCTGTAATTACAAACAAGCATCATTCAGTGAAAGGAGGATGTACTGCTTTAAATTCCACGTCAGCTTGAATGAAATGTAACTGTGTGCTATTTTCACATTTAAATCAACTGATCATTCCCTCACCTGACACATGAAATCTGGTATGACCCTGTGGAAGATCGAGTCCTTCAACCCGAAGCCTTTCTCGCCGGTACACAGAGCCCTGAAGTTCTCTGCGGTCTTGGGGACAATGTGGGAGAAGAGCTCTACAGTGATGGTGCCCAGCAGTTGGCCGTCAGCTTCCACTTTGAGGAACACCTGTGGGTTAGTGTCTCTGGAGTGCTCCTGAACTCTGGACATCTGTGGTGAGGTGACGCCTGAGGCCTCGCCACTAGTTTGGTTCTGACACTCGCAGAAAGTCTTCTTGAAGGATTCGGCTATCTCGGGGGTCTTGAACTTGGCCGCAAGCTGCTCCACGACACCGTCGCCGTCTGGAAAAGCAGAGGCAAAAACAAGACACCGTCAGAAAGAAGGCAGCTTTAAAATGTCAAAACACACGTTGGCATAGTTTAAGCCTCTGAACCGCAAAACTGACTGGTGGGTGCGAAAAGCACAGTCGTTTTTTTTGTTTGTTTGTTTTTGTTTTTAAAAAGTCATGTGTGACATGTGGGTCCAATGGAAAAAATAACCCCAACTAAGATTAAAATTGCGACATTGCATCATAATCACATTATTCTACATGTCCCTTCTAAAAAAAATCAACGAAAAGACACTTGAGGTCGAAGAGAAAATACATAACTCATCAACAAAATGAATGCAGCATGGCTCAAACCTGTACACAACGGCCTCCACAGTCTGTCAGGCTGAAAATCGGTCAGCCACTAACACGCAGTACCAAGAGTGTCTTCATATCTACGCTTACCTGAGTAGTCGGTGGCAGTCCAGAGCAGTGCGTTGGCTGAGGCGTTCATGGGTTTAAGCTCCATCGCCTTGGAGATTGTGTGGTTGGCACAAACTCTCAACACCTGCTCTCTTCTCATCAGGATTCGGTAGAAATGTTTGGTTGGGTGGAAGAGGATCTTGAGGTCGCCGATGCCGCGCTCCTTCCACTGGCCGAGGTCTCGGTCCCATCGGTACAGCCTGGCGCGCTCTTTAAATAGGATTTCCTCATCCTCCTCTCCAGACTTTGTCTCCACCTGAGAGAAGCACAATATCCGGTAAATTTCAATTTATTTGTTAAAGAAAAAAGACCAAATTGTTAAAGCGTAGCGTTTAAAGGTACCTCAGGGAGGGTTACGATAGGCTCAAAGTGAATGTCCACATTGTTAGGAGCCTCTTCCTCATCACTTCCCTCCTCATCACCAGTGTTTTTAGGTGCAGAGGGCGCTGCAGACCCAAATACTGTCGCTCCAGCGTTTGCCCACGAGAAATTGGAGTCTACATAAGGAAAAACAAAAGATGCAGTTAAGTTAATTTGTTTTTGTGAATTACAGAGATGTCAGTCAAAAACCTTGAAAATGTGAAAGCTGACCTTGAGCTCCGAATGCAAATCCTTCTGTGTTTTTTGCCAAGTCGGCAAAAGAAAAGCCTCCCAGTGAGTTGAAGCCGAAGGTGGAGTCTATAGCCAGAGGAACAAAGGTGTGATCAAATGCTGAACCGAGTGTTGTTTCATTTCTACCACTCATTTCTGTATGCAGCAGGCAGTGGGCTGAACGCAGCAACATCAACACTATATACAGCTGAGGCAAGAGCTCAGTACTGCAAACAATTAGAGGCTGTAGATGATACTTAATGGTGGTTAATGATTATTGATCAGTTTCATCAAACAGTAGCTACAATAAATAATGCAGTCCACGGATTTCATCACTTCTCTTATTCCAGGCCACAGTAT